TGTATCGTAGCAGCCGGCGCACAGCCTTTGCCCTCAAACATAATCCACAAAGGTCAAGAAGGTGGGGCTTGTGTCTGACGGTCACCTGAGAAGAGCCAATAGAAGATAGTCAACAGGGATATTAGCAATAGAGTAAAGTTGTTGGGTCCACCGCCAAGATTTACTAACCTGCAGGATGCTCTGTCGCGCGTTGAAGCATTAACAACTAGTATAAGCAGGATTAAAAATGACCTTTCCATTTTCAAAAACAAACACAGCTCATTAAAGAGGAAGAGCTCTGCTGTTCAGAGTTTGACAATAAGAAACCTGATTCTTCACTGTTGGCTAATTCTGGCTGTAGGCTCTTAATTATTAAAGCAAGTGCATTGACATACTAATAAGTCACTTGAGTGGCCCCTTCACAAAGTCTGTAACATGACTTCCTTCTTGGATAAATCATTAGCTTCCTGTATGGTTTTTGTTCGTGGAATATGGGACACGGCAAACATATGCTAACAGACAGATGTAGGGAAAGAGATCTGGGACACATTCACACAGGGAATAACCCAGTAAACCCTCACTAACTGTGTTTGTGTGTGTTTGCTGAATCATCCAATAACACTGAAGTGACCCATCTGCATGCTGTCAAGCGTGATGATCTTCAAAACTTGACATAGCAGCAGCACAGCACACACACATCAAAATGTTTGAATTGTCTCACTGCACATCCATCAGGAGCAAAAAAAAAAAGAAATACACTTTCAAATTGCATCATCTTCAAAGTTAGAAATCAAAATGACACTTTCCCTCTGTTCAGGCTCCAGACCCCAGGATGATAAAGAAGCACTTCATCACTCTGGACTATTGGGAGTATGGGGGATTAGGAGCTTGTTAACAGACAGCATGAGCCGCACAGGCTGAGACAGGAACTGGTTGGCAACCTTCTAGCTGATTACAAAACACACACACACACACACACACACACACACACACACACACACACACACACACACACACACACACACACACACACACACACACAAAGTGTAAATAGTGAAAGGCTTCAATCTTTGAAAGCAGGAGATATGACCGTACCACTGCACGAACGCCTTCAGGTGTACACCATCATGACTTATATAACAACTTGCACAAACACAAAGAAAGATATGCATACAGCCCTTTTCTAAGAGATCGGTCAGCAGGTGCACTTTGTTTGTATTTGTCTGAAGTCTAATGGCCGCCCAGAGCAAGAAGATGAATAAAGAGATGTATTATTGAGTATGTAAGTCGCTTTGGATAAAAGCGTCTAACAAGTAACATGTAATGTAATGTAGATAAAGGAGAGCAGACTTTATAGACCAGGGGTATTCAACTAAAATTCAACGAGGTCCAGTTAGAGAAAATCTCCCCATGCAAAGGTCCGGAACATCAAAATGTCTAAGTTGAATTAGTGTGGTATTGAAGTAGCCTGTAGCTTTATCAACGTTTGCATGTAATCAACAACTGGCTGCCAATCAAATAAAGAAAGTACAATTCATGGATCTAAAATTTTGAGCGCCGGAATCGACTTATGCTCTCAGGGAGGGTGCTTCGAGTTAAGAGCGCGGTTGGTACATGTAGGGTGTTTGACACTGCGCACCTCTCCTCCCTCACCTCCTGAGGTCAGTCGGATGTGGTCAGCCTCTCCGCTTGTGAGTTTCACGTTTTGAATAAATTATATGTGCAGCAAGATATACCAAACACAAGTGTCGAGCATCATGTCATTATCTCCTCGTAGCTTGAAGGACGGCTGACTCCAAACAATAGACATTAGGTGGACTTTGACCCAGTATTCCAGTACATGGACCTACGCTTTGCGATTGTTTCCTTTTCCCTTTGAGTTCCGACACGACTACGATTGTGAAATAAAATAATATAGATATTAAATTCGTGAAAATCTACGTGTTTGTAAAAGTTTCGATAAAATAAATACAAAGGATAAAGAAGTAACAAATTTACGTCCGGGCTCTCGCTTGTAATGTGTATAGGTGACATAATGACGTATAGATATATCAAGTTCAATACCTGTTATTTA